TTTTTTTTTGTTATATGTTTGCTTATAAAGAGATTATCCAAATTACAGGTTGTTGTGAGTGATTTTTGGGATTTTTTTCTTCTTATTTTTGAAGTATTGTTTAAATGATTTCAATCTTAAAAATGGAAAGAATATTGTCGATGGAAAGAACGAAACAGTAATCAATGGATAGAAGCAATTCTTCTCGATGGAAAGAACAGAAACAGTAATCAATGGACAGAAGCAATTCTTAGTGGTGATATGTGGGACCCACTTGAACGGATTTGACTTTTTTGACCACGGTAGCATGACATGGCAAAAGTTGTTGTGCACGTCATCACTTTTTTAAATTTTGCCCTCCACATCATAAAAAAAATATTAAAAATGCCACGAATCAAAGTTAACGGTCCAATTTAACAGAAGGACTAACGGAGTGCATTTCTTATAGTTGAGGGATCAAAAAAGTGCAAAAAATTCTCAAGGGACCAAAAATGTGCAAACCACTAAAGTTGAGGGACCAAAATGAGCATTTAACCTTTTAAAAACACTGTACTAAGGTCGCATGTTTCAATTAAGTCCTTTTAGCCAATGATTAACTCGATGGTAATTTTTTTAGTAAAGTTTTTGAACTTAAGTCACATAGCATGCTAATGAAGATGGATTAAGAGATGAGAGGATTGTTTTTTATTGTACAACTTAAAATTAAAAAAATAATAATAATTAAGTCTTTCCAACAACTTTTGATCAAAATAAACTATTTAAAGTTAATTTCGTATCAAATAAGTATCTACCTACACAATTATTGCGTTTAAAGCAAAAGTTGCAAGCCATATGACCTATAGGAATTTCATCTTTGTTAATGTGTAATTGAGTTGGCTCATTATCTAATGAGGATGTTAACGTGAATCACTTCTAGTCTTTTTGTGACTTCTAATTCTTCTCTAGTCTTTTATCGAGCAATCACTGCTATTCTTTGCTTTCTATGCATTGTAGAGAAAAGAAAGAGAAAAAGAGACACAAAGGGAATTCATCTATCAAATCACATACCAAAACCAAAATATAAGAAAAGTTAGTTTTGTCTTAGGTGCAATAGTTTTGTAATAAAGAGATACATGGCATTAAAGTTACTATGAGGGGTAGTATTCTAGACCCTCTCTCATCAGAGTTCTAGAGTCCCATAGTCTCTTCTGTGAGTTTTCTCTCTAGCTTTGTTCGATTAGTTTCTCTAGTCATCTTCCCATCAAATTGCTTTCAAGATATTGCTCTTTTATCTTCACTTTCTCCATTTCCAACTTTCCTTTCTTTTCCTTCTATATGTTTTGCCTTCTCCATGGTAGATCCTTCCTCTTTCTCTTTCATTTTCCTTCCTTTTACCTTTTCCTCTATTGATCCTTTCTCTTGCTCTCTAATTTTCCTTTTCTTTTGTCTTCTCCTCTGTAGATCTTACCTCTTGCTTTGTTATTTCCTTTACTTCTTGTGTCTCTAATCTTTGTTCAAGCTTAAAGATGTGCAATGGATACTTGTAAATCTTATCTATATAAGGCTTTTTTTTCCCTATGTAGATGTTGTATTGCTCTTATTTAATAAATAAAATTTTAGTTTGTTAAAATGAAAAATGGTTAATTTGAGGGACTTATTTAGGACAAAAATTAGTACAAAGGCTTGATCAAAACAAATGAGGTGGTTGATGAACCAATCATAAAGTTATTCCTTAATAATAGAAAAGTAAAAGATAATAAAGTAATAAAAAATAGTAATGGCATTTATAGAAGAAGAAGATACTTTGAGGGACTTATTTAGGACAAAAATTAGTACAAAGGCTTGATCAAAACAAATGAGGTGGTTGATGAACCAATCATAAAGTTATTCCTTAATAATAGAAAAGTAAAAGATAATAAAGTAATAAAAAATAGTAAAAGATAATAAAGTAATAAAAAATAGTAATGGCATTTATAGAAGAAGAAGAAGAAGAAGAAGAAGAAGAAGAAGAAGAAGAAGAAGAAGAAGAAGAAGAAGAAGAAGAATGGCATCCTTTTTGCTCTGTCGTGGGATCTGGGTAGATGCTAAATCTTTAAATATTACAAGAAATAAATATAAAATGCAAATTTGGGGAAAATGGTTTTATTGTTAAAGAACACTAGTACACGAAGCAAAAAGTTATTACTCTGAAAATAAATAACAAATATTTTAAAGAAAAAATGCCTTAACTTTACAAAATTGTTCTTTATCATCCCTTAATTACAAAAATAAGCAAGATAATCTTTAAACTTTGGAGAATAAGCCAACTAGTCACTCCATCAAATATTTATTAACAGAAATGTTAAATGGTTATATATTTTGAACTTTGGAAGTCATTAATAAATAGTTTATAACTAATTATCTTATATTTTTAACTATTAATTTGTCTAACAGTCTCTAATATGCTTTTTTTTTTCTTTTATTGAATCTCCATTTTACTTTGTATTTCTCTATATTTTCTTTTAAAAGAAATTGAAAATTTTCAGATTTTATTAGACACTAGATAATAGTAGTCAATACCTTTTAAGATCTACCTTTTCATGGAAATAATTAAAAAGTTATAACTAAACATTTTTTTTTTAAATTATCAATTAATCTTATGAAATCATATTTTTAAAATTTTAATTGGTATAAAAAATAGTTTACTTAAAGTCAATTTTAAATAATTTACTTGTAAATTGACAAAGACTATTACTATCTATAAGTCTCGATTTTTTTTAATGTCACACTTACTTTGATAAAAAATTACAGAACAATTTTTTTTTTAAGACAAGAAAGCCCATCATTTTTTAATGGCCCACTTGAAGTTTGAATGCTAATTTTGGGTACAGCAATGATCAGACCCACAACCGTCATTATCAGATATAGATCACAAGTTTTATCTCAATTAATGCCACAAAGAGTTTACTTAGTTTTGCAATTTTGCACCATTACATTAGTTAGAAGCTATACTATCTTACTATTTGAGCTACTTGAGGTCTTAACAAACAACATTTTTATTTGGAAACTGCAATTATGACTATTGGTTAATTCCAATCTCTAAATCAACCAAAATACACGGAGTCTAGCCTCAGTCACTATTATCTTGCTGCTAACCATTTCTAATCCACTTTCTACAAAAGAAAGAATTGAGTGAAGAGCGAGCGTGGTTGTTAAGCAACCTACAATTTGATTGTTTATTAATGCTAGTTTCATTATTTTGCATGGTTCGTTGTGTTTCAAGCTAATTTCGTTAGCCATTGCTATTTTCTTAGTAGGGACACCCTAGAGGGGTGAAGAGTTAAAACACATTTCCTCTTTATACTTGTAAAAACAGTAGGATTTGTCCTCTTTAATAAAGGGTTTTTTTTTTTTTTTTTGTATCTCTAATGAGGTAACTCAATAGTTATAAGTTTAAAATTTTAAATTAAAGATTTCATATTCAAATGTTGAGTCAGATGAGAAGGAATTTAAAGAAAAAAAAGAGTTATCTCTTTTGTATAACTTATTATTATCAGATATACTAAAAAAATAAATGATTTTGTTAACACTTGTTCTTAAGTACAAGTTTAAAATATAATTATTGTAATTCTTGCCATTAATTATTATTAAAAAATTAATTTGTGTTTATTTAATTTTTTATTTAGTTAGTCTAACTTGTATCCTTATAGTAAGGTTAATAAATATTAAATACACATTTTTGTCAAAAATTTGTATTGAAAAAAATAAGAGTTAACTTTCAATTTATTAACTATTTAATTAAATTCACTTACTTAATACTGATACTAAAATTAATATTAATTTTTATAGTCTTTATACACATTTATGATAAAAAAAAAACTCTTAATCTATGTTTTAAGATTAAAAAAACTCTTTTTAATTCAATTATTCAAATAATTCACATGACATTAATTATAAAATTATTATCAAACTTTATTATTTTTTAATCAATAATATAAAAAATATAATAATTATATCTTTAATGCTTATAAAAACATTCAATAAAGTTTAAATTTAGAATCGACTGATAATGTCAAAAACTTAAGCGCGGTCTTAAAAGAAAAAAGAAAAAAACCTTGAAATTTGGAGTAAGACTTTAATGTATATAAAACCTTACCAAGGTTACTATATTAACTACTAAATTGCGTAACGTCTACTCAAAGCACTAGAATATTAAACCTTGGAAAAAGAAAAATTAAAAAAAAAATGTACCATAAAGAAAAATATACTATCAAAACCCGTGTCAGTCCAGAGGGCAAAGGGTGAGCTTTCTTGTGACTGCTGTCTTGTTATCTTTTCTTTCTTTTTGGATTTTGTTTAACGGGGTGATGGTTTTTGACATTTTTTGAGGTTGGGCCGCTGCAGGAGCCAGAAATTTTCGATAATGGGAGGCCGGAGATTTGGACGCGTCTTGGTCTTGCCCCAAACTTTAGATGAGGAGGCGCTAAATGTATGGAACGCAGTCTTGTTGAGGGTTTGTGGAATGCAGTCTTGTTGAGGGTTTGCTTAGCATCCGATTTTAACTTGTAACTTTTATATTTTTCTATCATCGAAAGAAAAAAATTATTATGGAATCCATTACATATTGATGTGAAGTCTTACTCTTATAAAGTTTTTCATGTTTGATAAAATGTGAATATAATAATTGATAATTAATTATTCATATTATATTTACACTATTTATATTTATTGTAAATCTTTTATACTCTAAAACATTTTTGTAATAATTTTATACCTTAAAATATTTCCATTGTAAATATCAACATACAAGTCATTGTACATATAGTATGAATAAAAAAAAAAACTTTTCTTCAAATATTTCTCTCTTTTTAGCAGTTTTTAACATGGTATCAAAGTTATAAACTTTTGATGCTTCCCCTTTTTTATCATTATTGTTTTGTTTTTGAGCTGGTTTTTAGATCCATTTTGGGTTGAAATTTTGTCATTGGAATCCCTTTTCTTGTAAATTGGATTGCTTAGTCTCAATTCTCATACTATTTTCTTAAGTATTTTATTGAATTGTTATTTTGATCTTACCATCTATTTCATCATATTTTTGGAGACTTTTTAATATTGTGAGTTCTACTAATTTTATGGCAAATTTTGAAAGAACTATTATACTAATTTTATTGTGAGTTCTACTAATTTTATTATACTATATGATGGTTGCCCAAGAAGGGATAGATCAACCAAACTCTTCTATTATCACCATTGACTTTACCAAATGCTATTTTGGTTCCAAAACTTAGTTATAATCTTTTATTTATTAGTCAATTATGTGATCTTGGCTTTGAAGTAACATTCTCCACTCATGGTTGTTGTGTGTAGGACCTACAAATAAGACAACTTCTTAGAATTGGTTGCAAAGTGGGGCATATGTTTAAACTCAATTATCTGTATATTCCACATAATAAAATGAATACACCATTATTTCCAAGTGATCATTCATCCAAACCCTACTCTTTGTTATTGAATTAGAGTCTTTGTAAATTCCATATCAACAAATCTTCCAAGCATGTGCCACTACTAACATTTCTCCTCTCCATTAGTGGCA